ATTGTTATGATTGTCTGCGACCACCTTGTCCCAGTAATAACCTTGTAGAATGCCTGCAGTCCAGGCGCTTGACCTGCTAGGCTTAATGCCGTTTGTCGAAGCTTGGGTTCTCGGCATTTCAGACTAGTGAACCACAGGGGAATTGAGATGCCAAGTTCAAGCGAAAGTGGAGGTTGGGACCCGTCTGATCGAGCCGAAGCACCCAGCGCGACTTGAGACTGATCCACTATGTTCTGGAATTGCGGAAGGTATGCATCGTTTGCGGTCTCCAACTGACATGTGGAAGTGCCGATCATTACGTATAGCATCTCGTGATAAGCGAGAAGGAGGGCGCCAGTGCTTATTTGTTGCTGTGATAAAGACCCTTTCAAATGCAAGGTTTCCATCAAGTCCGTGAACGCAGCGTACCACACCTTTAGTCTACCAGATAGAGCGAGGCATTGATCGATCAACTCGCGAGGTGGGTGAAATCCTTCAGACTTCAGAAAAAATGGCAGGCAGACACGCTGGAAGAGCTGAGCCTCTGCAAGCAAGAAAACGAGGGCTTCGCGAGCAGCTTTGAGAGAGGCAAACCTCTGTGTCAAGGTATGCTCAGCGTCGGGTAGCAAAGCGCCGACCGGAACAGCGGAAAAGTTAAGCGCCGTTGCCCCAAGACGGATGAAGATTGGAACGATGATTTCCTCCAACCACGCAGTTTTGGATGCCGATATGACCCTAGAAGCTATCTGAGCACGCAATGTGACGATAAGCTGCACGCCTTGACAGTAAAGCAGCGTAGCTTGTGCTGCACCACCCTGAAAACCTTCAATGCACATGAAGAGTATACAGCTGACCAGTCCGACCAGGACATCCCCGTCGCCGCGGTCCAGTCGCTGACGGACTTGAGACATTGAGCGGGAATACCAGCTGATGGCGTCTCGGTGGTACTGATTAAGGCGAACGACATCTCTCTGGCGTTGAAAGGCTATATCTGGACATGGCTCTGGGCTTTCAAACAGGGTGCTCAGGGAGATGATGGCATCCCACACGGCGGGTTCGCTGCGGCAAATCTGGGGAACAATGGTACTCCAGAAATCAACTTCTAGACCCCCGCCGATGAACAGGGCGATATGTTGAAAGTAATAGGCGAATGCGCGACGCTCCTTCCAGACTGTATCCGGGGCCGAGGACAATGGCTTGTCGAGTATTGAAAGGGTTGCAGGTGTGGAGGAAAACGTGCCTAAATTTGGGCCTTCATATCCGCAGTTACGGCCTGTCTTGCTGCAACGAAGACAACTTGGCTTTTCCTGTCCACACTTGACTCTCCGAGCCCTGGAGATAATAGTTGTAAGCTTATGTCGCGGTGATATAGTGTCAGAGCACCTACTTGCAGGTTTTGCAACCCCGCCTCGATCTCAGGGGACCAATTACCGCATCCCTCACCTGGGTGGAGGGAGAAAGACGCATATTGCCAGCATTATTCTTGAGGTCAGTCAATGGAATGATGCATAGCAGACATGTTAGCAGCACGATAGAGAATAATCGAGCGACTCAATGAGAGAAGGAATGTTGATATGGCGGCGATGACTGTTTCATGATGAGGCGATAACTGGTCCTGACACGTGAGTGGCTGATTATGAGGAACGAGTCACGTGGAGCTTGGCTAGGAAAGTAACATGTAGGCTACACCGCATGCAGTTAGTCTGACAGGCGTGCTGATGGAAAATAGGGGCAGATTAAAGATATCAGATTTGACCAATTTGATGTTTATCTTATCAAAGACTAGGTGTTTGTAGGGTAAAACTTCTAGTGGGGGTCAAAGCCGTAGAGTTCTGGTCAACCTTGGTTGGAACCCATTTCATGTCCTGACATTAATTTACCCGTGTTACGAACGGCAATCACTTTTTTTTTTTTTTTTTTTTTTTTTTTTTTTTTCTTTTATAGCCCGTGTTGTCGTTGCTTTTGTCTCCTTTTTGTTCAGCGACTCACAATCATTCTATCCTTTTTCCCCCCTCTATTTCCAGCCTGCCTCACAACAGACAACCAAGTGAAACTGCAAATAAATCGCCAGATTGCAATATGAAGACATAATCAGTAATGTGTGAGAGGCCAATTATTGCTATGGGAGCAACGAGGGCACAGGCTGAGAAACAGGTCAAGACACAACGCGATCACATGACCAGGATCGAACTCTACTGACTGCCGTTGGTACATGCACCTCTCCTTCCAGTTACCGCATTCTTCTTCGAAAGAGGCTATTATATGCTTAGATGTAATATCACTGACCAATAATCCAATGCCTAGAGAATAGCCAGTATCCGAAACCAGTAGAGGTTTCCGCTCAGACGGCCGAGAGTCGAGTGAACAGGTCAGATGAGGATAGAATGGCCGCAATATCCACCTATACGAGCGCAAGACTTGTTCGATGACCTCATCAGCTCACTACGACCCAAGGAAGGGCAAGATTACCCGCCTCGACAGAAGAAGAATTCTTGCCCGCATTTGTTGGACCAGGCCCAATTAGACTCCCAAGGATGTCATGCAACCATCCATCCACCAATCATCCGACGTGGGCGGTTCGTCCCGGGCACTCGATGCGGGGAAATCCGGGGTACATTATAGTCATTCCAGACCGGGAAAGTTACCCCATATTATTCACCCCCGGAGTCCAGCTTCAACCTAATCGGCGAATGTATAGTATTCTACTAGCCGCAACCCTATATGGATCGGCAATTGACTCTGGTATATATATGCCTACGCCCTTCTGGGTATGGGATGGTGGGTTGCTTTTCAGATGATCCACACCCCCCATTCACTAGTAGCACATACATTTGCATCTTAGTCTCCTGCAATCATGGCAGATAGTGACACACCCGACCGATCATCATTTCAATTGAAGAAAGACCTCGCAACTGCCGAGCATGATGAGAATGTTGGCGCGATCGAGTCGACCTCTGATCTGGCCTATGGCGTGGGCGGCATCCGCGGCCTCTTCCGCTCGTGGTATGTCTTCGGGTCGGCGACCCTGGCCTCGCTGGGCGGCTTCTCCATGGGGTATGATATGGGTGTGATTTCTATCATCAACGTGATGGATCAGTTTCATGCCGTGTATCCTCGTTCCGAAACTGCTTTCGGAAAGGGTCTCATGACAGGAATGTTGCTGCTAGGTGCCTTTGTCGGCTGTCTCTTCATGTCCTATTTAGCCGATCGCATCTCGAGAAAGTGGGCCATCACAGTCGTCGTGGTGATCTTCGACATCGGCGCTATCTTGCAGACTGCAGCCGTGAACTACGACATGCTAGTTGCTGGCCGCTTCATTGGCGGTATAGGAGTGGGCACTCTGGCCATGGTACGTACCCTCCTTCCCCTACCCCCAATCATTCACCCTACCTATGTACATACTAAACCTACCCCCCTCTGGAGGGTGCACCACTATACATCTCCGAAACCTCACCCCCCGAGCTCCGCGGAATCCTTCTCGTCCTCGAATCCATCTCCATTACCCTCGGCGTCGTCATCGCCTACTGGATCACCTACGCCACCCGCTACATCCCTAGCGAAGCCTCCTTCCGCCTCCCCTTCGGCCTCCAGATGGTGACCGCCACCCTCCTCGGCATCGGAATCCACTTCTACCCCTACTCCCCGCGCTGGCTCGCTCTCGTCGACCGCCAAGACGACTGTCTCTCCAGCCTCTCCAAACTCCGCGGCCTCCCACGCACAGACCCCCGCATCCAAGCCGAATTCCGCACCATCGTCTCCGAAGTCACCTACCAGCGTATAGTCCAAGACCGCCGCCACCCCGGCGCCACAGGTCTCAAACTCGAGCTCTTCTCCTGGCTGGACCTTTTCTCCCGAGGTACCTGGAAACGCGTCGCGGTGGCCTGCGGCGTGGGATTCTTTCAACAGTTCTCGGGTATTAACGCGTTTATCTACTACGCACCCACATTATTTCAATCCCTGGGACAGTCAGATAGCATGTCTACCATTTTATCCGGCGTGTTCAACGTCATCCAAGCCGTGGCTGCAGTCTTTTGTGCGTTCATTATCGAGGGGGTCGGGCGACGCGCACTAGCTATCTATGGCGCGTTTGGCATGGCCGTAGCGTACATGATTATTGCTATCTTATCTGGGCTGTACTCGGATGACTGGGCAAGCCATGTCGCAGCAGGCTGGGGGTGCGTCGCCATGGCCTTCGTTTTCATCCTAATTTACGGCGTGTCGTATTCCCCGTTGGGGTGGGCGCTTCCGGCAGAGGTGTTTCCTAATGCATCCCGGTCGAAGGGTGTCGCGTTGGCGACGTGTACTATCTGGTTGTCGGATTTTATTATCGGAGTGGTGACTCCCTCCATGTTGTCGGATATCGGCTACAGGACGTATGTGTTCTTTGCGGTCATGTGTACGTTGGCTGGGGTTTGGGCGGTGGTGCTAGTGCCGGAGACGAGTGGGAAGACGCTGGAGGAGATTGATGGGTTGTTTGGGGATGCGGGGGCTAGAGCGGAGAGGGAGATTGTTAGGGATGCCATGGTTGGGGCGGGGGATATGGGGGGTGTTTAGGAGGTGAGTGGGTCTTGTGTAGTTTATTTATAGTATTTTAGGGAATGTTCAGTAGCACCGTGAAATGATTGTGTATGGTCTGATATACGTTGAACCTTCTCACCCAATATGTAATGGCAGATGAAAGCCAGCAAAAGTTGTGCAGCTGGTTGAATTGCATTTGAGCGAAAGGGATGGAACCCGTTCTAAGAGATGATGATTTTTTTTTTTTTGCTTCCTTAGTCGTATTTTGAGGAAAGGACTGAAAGGAGTAAATGATGATAACGAATGTACGATCACATTAGAGGGTTAATGAAAACGAACGTGGCTTCTGAACATCCCTCACTGATGTTCCGTGTCGAGATAAATAGTACTGCGTACAAATACTCAGTACGCCACTAGTCTTTAACCTGACATTGATATCCTCCTTCTACTGCAGTCAATTCCCATCGAATGCTAAATAGGAAGACAATCCACTGACTTGTGCCCCATATGTCTCCCTGGGATGCGTCTCAGACTCCAGAGTCATCTTGGAATCTCGCAGATGCATTCCAGCGATTCTCTTTGTTATCCCACCATTCCTTCCACCCCGTGCATCCATCGTCAATTTGGTCCCGTGCGGTTTGACCCGGATTGATATCTTTGTCTAATAGCTCCTTAATCTTGTCTTTATCTTCAAGAATTTGCAAAGCCAAGCCACCAGAGGCATGCCAGGCAATGTGGCAATGCAGCAGCCACGTGCCTGGATTATCAAGCTTGAAAGCAATCACAATGTAGCCATTTTTGGGTAGCAAAACAACGTCGCGACGAGCCGGATTATCATATGAGAGACTGTCGATGAAGCCCTGCATAGCGTTAGGATCATTACCGATGTCATCGTCGAATGGGTCGTATGATTGCTTCAGCAGAGCGAAATCATGACCATGCAGATGCATCTATTATGACATCAGATTCATTAGCCCGCCCTGTTTGTAGTATGTAGAGACGTAGCCCTACTGAGAGAAATAGCTTTTCGATCGAGAGGCTTACCGGGTGCGCGGCAGGAACGACCTTCTCTCCAGGGGGCTTTTCTTCTTCATCTTGATGTCCACCGTCTATCACCATATATGCCCATGTTGGTTCATCCGTATCTGGGTCCGAATTCAGTTCAAAGAGAGCAGCATTTTCAGGCCAGGTATAATTGCCGTCCAGGTGATTCACAGTCAGATCTTGATAGTTCACCCAGGCAGGTGCCCCGTTGACCTGCCATGCGCCTATTGTCTCATCAGTACCGTTCCATCCGTCTTCAGCGGGCATTGTGAATTTGTCCTGTTTCAGTAGGTCGAACGGAAACCTGACCTGCTGCAGTTGATCCGGTGTTGGCTTCGGTATCATCCAAGGGAACACCGGGATCAGCTTGTCATGGTCTTCATCCCGACACTGTCCTCCATAAGGTGGTCTATATGGAGTGGATATGGGGTCCTCAAGATCCGTGGTATTGTACTGAAAGATACCCTGTCTTTCATTTGGTTCACAGGCGAAATTGTGACAGCCTGAGGCAGGCCAAGTTCGAATCCAATAATTTCGGTTTATATCTTCGGGGTCGGATTTGGTTTCTACGATGACGTGGTACCGCTGACCTAAACCATTTTGTGAGAAATTTCATCCACATGCCTCAGGACAGACTAACCAATTCCAATATATAAAGAATCCATGTCATAGGGATGGACGGGCACCAAATCTGCACCGATGACCTTCATCTTATGTTCGTCGATACTGAAAATGAAGGCGGTGTCTGTTGCGGCATTAATCAGCCGGAGGAGATACTTCTTGCCCTATGACGCCTTATTAGGATGTATGCATGCGATCAAGGGATGTTTCAACTTGCCGGCTTGAGCTGATCTGTCTTGTATCGGTTGTCCGGATATTTACCCGCCCAGCTGCCTGAGTGGTGTTACTACTTTAACCACACAAAAACCTGGAAGGTCCCCCCCAATACCAACCTTTGTTATTGATGAGGATGCTATCCATCTGGATCACAGGACTATTCCCCTCAACCACTCCATAAGTCCATTTGGCGAAGGCGCTCTGGTGAACGTGGTCGGCCAGCATCAGAGGCTCAATGGTTTCATCGAACTCCTCAACCGATGCAGGTCCGTAGATAGTCAACGGTCCAAGCATGCCATCAGTGTATTGGAGGCTGTAATGGCTATGGTACCACGTCGTGCCATACTGTATCGCTTGAAATTCGTAGGTGAATGTATCGTTCACAGCAATAGGACACTGGGTGACACCTGGAACACCATCCGAATAACTGCTGTTGAACATACGGATTCCATGCATATGAATTGCAGTTCCGTTCTTATCCACCTTGTTCGTGACATGGACACCTGGTGCTTATTAACATAAAATCTTGTTGATGGAGAGTGGTAACCCTTACGAACTGTATCACCCCAACACGCCTCTATGATTGTTCATTAATACCGTCTATTTCATAGTATATGTTCAAAGAGAGTCCTTACCGATCCGCGGACCAGGATATGAGCCGTTAATATATTTTCCTTCCGGGAACGAGACACCGTCGGGTGCCAGCGCATCGTTCGAGTCCAGTTTACTCACATCAACGTAGATCTGGGACGTTTTGCTGTTACCCCGTATTCTGAGCACTAGAGGAACTTCCCTACCTACATCTCGAGTTATGCCTGTGGGTGCTTTTATTTCATAGTCCGTATCAATGTCATACACCTCATCCTGGCTGGTTTGTTGCGATGGCTGGAGCCAAAGACTCTGGTTTCCATTCGGTGTGGCTAGGTATTTGTCTTTCAGCCCCGGATACTGGCACTTAAAGTTCTTCGAGGCACCAAGGGGTTGGAATTCCAGCACATCTGTCGGGTCAGCTTGACCGGCTGCCGCAGTAGGCGAACTTGGGTATTCTATTGCTCCATTGGGCGGAAGTGGATACTGTTGAGATGAGAACAAAGATTGGAAGCCAAAGAAGTGGACAAGGGCTGTCCAGCAAGATTCCAACAGCATCTTGGGTCAAGCCACTCTTGGAGATCCGTGCACTGAAATGAACAACCGATGGACTTGCCCATGTGAGAACATCTCCTCTCCTCGGGAGCAGCTAAGCGTAAATAGCCAAGCGCCGGAAGACATAAGAATGGAGCACTAGTCTTGACGTGTTAGTGTTTACGTCAAAGACTCTTGGTGTGGAGAATTCTCCATTGGAAGGTTGCATTGTGAGAAGTATATTGCACTTGACAGCTTCGGATACAGTATCTGGACAAAGCGTTCCGCGTCCGGTAACCTGTCATATAGGTCTATGAGACTCGGTACAGACGCATTCGGCCCGCATGTGGAGGGGGTCCATATTCATGTCCTCCGCCCGAGTACTCTTGTCTGTACCCCAGCCCAACAGCATGTTATTGCGTATGTAGCTCACTATGCAGTGGTACCGAGTTGTACATAACAGGCACAGTATGTCTGTTCTGAAAAAGGTCGATTTGAAGTCTGTCTGTTGCGGCTATCTAAAATGCTAGTCTGCATTTAGCGGAACAAAGGATTTGGCAACGCATTATCGAGTGTGTGTTCGGAGTAAGAAAAGTGGGAAGGCCGTCGCGGAGATATCCGTACGATCCGAAACAAAAGCTTGCGCACCTTCCGCAATCCGGATGACAGATGGGGCCGCGCAACATGATCCGCGGTAGGGTGATGTAACACAAGGCGATAGTTGCCCTAAAACAATAGAATGTAGGTTGCATCGACGGGAAGGCGGTTTTCGTCGCATGACGCAGAGACTTTCCATGGAGGGCGTTTCCGCGGACATTAACTGTAAGTTCGACATCAATTGACCAAATCATTTACTGGGTTTTATGGGAATTATGACGGGATGGATATTGTGCGATCGGGAAATGAGAAATATAAGGGAGTTGTCGGGTTTGGCTATGAGAAAACTTTGTCTTTGTCGTTACCAACAGTGAGGGTGACGAACGACGAATCGAGACATTCAATTTGTTCCATCCAAACATGTTTTTTTCTCGCGTTTATGAGAATGAATTAGCATTCGCCCTTTGGCCCCTCAAGTATAACTGTACGGTTCAGAGTTGGGGACGCCGGGCTTGCCGGATGGTGGATATAATCGCTCTTCAAGATTAGCCGGGTTCCTTCGACATTGTTGCAGTATAAACTGGGGCGAAGGGGATGTCATGAGCCTCCTGTGGCATCCCAATGAAAAAAATGTGGCGAGTCATACAGGTATAGAGGGTCTATTATAGATTTTGAAATTTTTCCTGCCTTCGAACTGCTCGTCCGGCAGAACTCCCGGAAGGGGCGGGTTCATCGTGCAGGCGTCCAATGACATCGCAGAACTGCCATGGCTACTTCACAGGAAGAAATCCAAAAAAAAAAAAAAGAAAAAAGAAAAAAATAGAGGCTAAACTACATCTTAGTCTGACTCGTAATCTGGGCGAAGCAAGTATAGAGTAACACTCTATTCTCACCAGATGCATTTTGCGAAGGTAAGTTCTGGTGTATTAGCCTGGAATCATCGCCCGACAAAGATTGTTTGCAGGTATTTACTCTTTCAAGGACAGGTGCTGCACGAGTAGCCTGATATTAGTGCATAGAGTTGCTTACGCGTGTGGCGGATGTTGGCAAGGCCCACGAGTGGGGATAGCTGATGGCCTGCTATACGTGCTGTTAGCTTGGGCGGGTCAACTGGGTAAGTATTCGGGCGAGCCGACTGGAACTGACGATATGCTAGACGAAACAACCAAACTAATAGCTTGCTGATCGTCGGATCCTAGCGACTTACTGGCCATAAGCCAGGGGCGTTACAGGACCCTAGGTGAGGTTCAGTTAGCCGGGTGGGGAGGTCAATGTGATTCTTAAGAACACATGAGAGGCGGCTGGATTGAGGATCTCCACCTATGGATCAAATGCAGGGTTTTGGTCGGAGAGGTAAAATGGTTCGTTAAAGTGGTGACCGGAGATTTGGTGGTGGGATGTCTTGATGCTGCTGGGCAAGCCGTTAGAGAGACCAGTTGCACTGCTGAGCGGAAACTCGATGCGGTAAAAATAATCGAGGGCTTGTGCCGCCTGTAGCCAACCAGGAAGATCTGCGTTGCTCGAGTGTTTCGAGTGTCATACTGAGCTGAGCCAATTTGACATCGAAAAAGTAAACCTGGACGATCTATGAGTTTCAGAACACGCTGCCTTCCCACGGAGATTATGAGGACAGAGCTGGACTATGTAGACACTTGTTGAGCACTGTAGATAGCATTACCCATTCTGCTCGGTTCGAGGCAGTCGACTATCCTTATTGCCCCGGGTGTAGCCAAGAAGCTGTGGTGGATTGGAGCACGTGAACAATAGCAAATTCTGACTTGGCCTCTGACTACGAGGAAAGGCATGATGGCAGGTCCAGGTGAACTCTGGTTCAAGCCAAGCCGGTATCAAGCCATCCAGCTTGCATAAATTATCTTCCTGATAATTGGCTGGCGCAGAGGGGTCCAACAGGAGCCCGCATCGACATTCTGACACACATCTCACACGCACTGTTCTGGCTCGGCCAATGACGGCACCTCCGTTGCTGGACAATAATTACAGTGTAAAGTGAACAGGCGTAAGAGAAGCAGCATGATGCGCACGAGGGATTCAGTCTGGGCCGAGAGTGGACCATGGGGTTCACGGAGGTCCGACCACCATGAGATTAATTTCCAATGCGTTGTTCCTGGCCTTTCCTAACACGATCGGACCAAGAAAAGAAACAAAAAGTCAAAAGGAAGAAAAAATGTAAAAAGAAAAGAAAAGACAAGCCGGGACAAGACAGACAAGGCCAGACAAGCAACAGAATACGAGATATTTCTCAATGGTTGACCCTTTCGGGTCAAACAGCCAAGGCAGCCTGGGGCACGTGGTGCCAAGAAAGCTTGGCCTCTCTCCGGCCGGCATTGCAGCACGTGCCCCCATCGCGCCCTCTCATTCCCCCGTTGCGTTGCACACCATCTGCATCATCCCGGTTGACTCGAGGGGTTGCTGCTGTCCAATCTCCTTTGCATCCCGGACCATGCCGACGGCTCTGTCCGTCGTGAGGTTACACCGACCATGCTTCTACACTTCTGGAAAATTACTTACTCAAGTTTCTCCCGAGTCGGTCTACGCAGACAAGACACATTCCAGCTTACTCGGCCTCTGCATGTATGTTTACCCACCTTTGGGTCCAGCTTGAAAGACACCATGGCTCAAGTCCACCCAAGAACCTGCGGTTTTGGTTTGCGCCGTCAACTCACAACTTTCATAGGCCATTTGAATAATCACCAACATGGCTCTAGTCCCAGTCTGGTCGGACGGGGCCTCGTTGCCCCCACCCATGCACACCCACTTCCCCCCCGAATTGACCCATCGACCCGCTCGGGGAACTAGGTACAATTGCATCCAGTCCTCCGTACACCCTATTTTCTGCCTTCAGCTAGACATGGTAGGCATGCTAGCGTCCAGCTGCAGTGGCCTGTTCGACTCGCTTAAGGCTGTCTGTCGCGTGCGATGATGACTACACGATACCCTCCCGCCAACCACGTGCAGCGATACCACGAAACCCCCCTGGCCAACCACAACCGCTCTCTGCAGAACGTGCTGGTGCTATTCCTTCGAGATGCATAGATCGGTCGCTGCGCCGGTTAGCTGACAGGCTGACGCCTCGAGACACACGCCTGCATGCGATTCTCAATCCCCTTCTTGATAACACTTAAAAGGCCAGGGATCGCCGCTCGTCTTTGCTGACCCTGCTTGCTATCTGCATCTCAAGTTCGGACCATCCTTATCTTTCTTGCAAGTCCTCTTCATCCTCCCTCCGAGGATTCCTCTGCAGATATGGCGGACTTTGGCCCTCGTGCTCCTCACGGGCCCGACATGAACGGCAAGCAGGATTTCCCCGAGATGCATCCCAATGAGAAGGAGGGTTTCGATCGCCTCCTCCGTCCCGATGACAGCTACACGGCCCAGGGTGTCTACTGGGCCGACCTTCCCATTGGGCAGCGCGTCAAGTTTGTCACTTCGGTCGACAACAAGGAACGTAGCCGTCAATGGTCGGCTCTCTGGGCTGAGATCAAGAGGGATCCCCTCTCCCCAATTATGGGCTACTTCCGCAACACCATTATCCCAGGTGCTGGTATTGGTTTGGAAGGGTATGGTTACCCCATATTGATTGATCTGTATTAATTATTTCTAACGCACGTGCCACAGTTACGTTCTCCTGTCCATCGGAAACATCTCCACCCTCTTCGAGCATTCTTTCTCGACTTGCTGGGATAGTTACGAAATTTGTAACAAACAGTGGATCAACGCTATTACCTACCTCGAAATCATCGGTATAATCATCGGTCAGGTCCTCGTTGGTGTCATTGGTGACTGGGTGGGTCGTCGTTGGGGTTTGCTGCAGGATGCCTGGATCATGTTCTTGGGCCTGGTCATGTTGACTTGCGCCTGGGGCGTCACACAAAACGGCTGGGTCATCTGCTATGCTTGGTCCCTTTTCATCTACGGCATAGGTGTTGGTAAGTTATAACTTTCCGATTTACACTGGCGACACCAAAACCTCCTCCCAAAAACCGATTAGCTAACTCTTTCTAGGTGGTGAGTACCCGATGACTGCCACCAGTGGTATGGAGAACGCGGTTGGTTCCGGCAAGCTCTCTACTCGCGAGGATCGTCTTCATCGTGGTTCCAAGGTCGTTGGTGTGTTCTCCATGCAGGGTTGGGGTCAGGTCTTGAACCAGGCTATCCTCATGATCTTGCTTCTTATCTTCAACGCTGGTAGCGGAGAGGAGCCTATCAGCCAGACCAACACCCAATGGACCTACCGTATCTCCTTCGTCATCCCAATGGTTGGTACCTTCTGGCTCATCTACTACCGTGCCTACCACATGAAGGCTGCTAGTAAGCAGCTTGCGGCTACCAAGAAGAAGAACTCGGTTACTGGCTACGACACTGAATCACTCCGCCTCACTTTCAAGTATTTTACCCCCCGTGTTTTGGCCACTGCCGGTGGATGGTTCGCCAATGACGTCTTTTTCTACGGTGCCAAGCTCTTCTCCAGTGATTTCATCAAGGTTATCAGCCCCAACACCAAGTCCATCTTCGTTACCTGGCAGTGGAGCTTTATCAACTGCGTTGTCACCCTAATGGGCTACTATGCTGCCATTATGTTCGTGGACAACAAGCTCTATGGCCGCAAATGGATGCAGATCATGGGCTTCTTGCTCTGCTTCATTGTGTACGTGGTGCCGGCTTTCCACTACCACTACTACACCCAAGCCGCCCATATCCACTCCTTTCAAGCCATGTACTTCCTGGGCAGTTTCTTCAACCAATTCGGCCCCAACTGCATTACCTTCTTGGTGGCTGGTGAAGTCTTCCCCACTCCAATCCGTGCTACTGCCCACGGTATCTCCGCTGCCTGCGGTAAGCTGGGAGCCTTGTTGGCTGCTATCCTCTTCAACTACATCGATACCCAGACCAAGTTCTACTTTGTGCCCTGGTGGGGTATCTTCGGCATGTTCCTGACTTTCTTCTTCCTCCCGGACACCACCGGTCTGGATCTCAAGGAGCAGGAGCGCCGCTGGAGATTCATTCGCGAGGGTCGCGAGAATGAGTACCACGGTGTTGCCATCCATCCCAAGCACCTGTCCCTGTGGGAGCGCTTCCGTGGTGTTGGCAAGTACTACGACCCCGAGCTGGACTACCAGCAGCGCGTCGAGGAGTACCGCTCTGAGTGGGAGGCCATCATGGCCCGTCGCAGCGAAGAGACTAAGACCAGTGACGATGTCGACTTGGCTTTCGTCGAGGATGACCTCTTGGAGGGTTCCGTTCACAACTACTTCCACCGCACCAGCTCTTTTACCAAGACCCAGAGCGTGGAGAAGGTAACTGAGGCCGAGCCCTCGGAGTAAAAAAGTCATCGCAGCATCTAGTTTTGCGCCATGCCCTCGCAGGCATGGCATGGATATACCCACACATACCCCCCCGCCTATATATACCCGTCGTTCATGCGACTTCACAATTCCCGCTGGATAGAGATTTCTTCTAGCTTACCTTATACTATCTAATTTCCTGTTTATATAAATTCGATGTCTGGATGGTTGAACGAGGAGCTGAGACGTGAATCCATTTATATACTTTTCTTTTTTGTACTTAATTTAATGCGACTTGGCTCAACCCTGTTGTATCTAAAATGCCTACTACTCTCTCATAATGTATATGCTTTTCGTATAACTCTAAGCCTTCAGAGTAGAACTGCCGCTGATAGCAGTATTGCAGCAGAGGTTATAAGCCCTTTGCACCCTATCCTCCAGGACATTCGTTTTCTTCCAAGCCCAACATCTACCCTCCAACTGGGAAATCACAGCCCCACCCGTACCCCCAAAATCAGATTCCCATACCTAGATCAAGCCAAGCATCGAAACAAGCTCATTCCCGATCTGAAGCCGAACGTGGCGCAAACTCACTCCCATGCCAATGCTTGGCTCCTTGCATCCACAATTCTTGGTACAGCTTGGCCGGATGGAACCAAGATCTTGGCGAGATGGCGAAGAATAGAGTTTGTGTAGTATTTAACCTTTTGCATTTGGACTTGGCTGGCGGGATTTTGAGATGTGATGAATTGTTGAGGTATATCTTGTTGTGGCTGCTTTGGAAGGAGGTGGTTGATGTGTAGGCGATGGAAGGAGGATGGGCTGTGTTGGTGATGATCTTAGATGGTGGGTCACTTTCTATCGGCGTCGAGTTCAATATTAGAGAATACAAATTGAGCATTGCACATAGTTAGCTATTGCCTTAGTAAGATCTACAAGGTCACCGAAGATATTATGGTAAAATAATGGCCTACTCGCAGCTGGAAGCGGCCTTGATGCCCCAGGCATTAAGGCCTCCGGCATTAAGCCTGATCTAGAATCTGTTTGTCAGGTACCAGTTTCCTTTTTGGGATGACGGCCGGTCACTCCCTCCTAGGGATGTTTGGTTTGGTAACTATGTTCAATGTGAATATGTTGTTTGTATTTGTATTATGGTGCTAGATCAGATTCCCCTTCTACCCTTCACCCCTATGCTGAATTCACAATGGCCAAATCACTGTGAAGGCCATGTCGGTCAGGGATATGAAGGGGCACCTACGTTCACCAACATGTCGACAAATAGCATCTGAATACACAACCTTCTAGGATGTGCAGTCAATGTGATGAAAAGTTTTCTCCCCCTACTTAATCTCTTCTCTTACCACCTTCTCTCTTCTTCTCTTCCGTCACTCCTCCATCTCAATCCAGTATTCCCGAGGCCTGTGGTTTTCACTTCGAATCGCTTGAACCACTTTGTCTAGTTACAGTGTCCACGCTAGAATGCAGCAATACAACGAATCTAACATGGAAGACTATGATGAATCCGTGAATGTGAGTCCTAGTTACGGACCAGTTCCATTTACTATATATATCAAGTCTGCTAACACAACTGACACTGAGCAGTCATCCAGTGGTTCATCTTCTATAACACAGGATTCTGAGTCCCAGGGAGCCGTTGTGGAACGCCAAATGACTCTACTCGGATCCGAGATAGACAAAGATGATGATCGTGGCAACTCCGAGCATGCACCGATCATCGCAGGCTGTGCTTTGGATGTAATCGTCAATCAAGATGGCGAAGAAACTGTGTCCGACGGCATCCCCCAGCTCGGATTGATCTCTTGGACTTAAAATCATCATCTTGCCCTTCGCAGTAGACGTCATTGAGTGTTGTTTCTTGGATCCAGTGGAATGGTTGGGAAATTGAATCTGTTTTGGTGGCGCGGCACAGAAATATGTTGTGGAGACCTGACTGCACTGCCAGCTAGCAGTTTTAATAAGTATGAACACAACGGAATGCTCCGACAAATCATGCGACCCTCCATTATCAATTCTGAGTTCCATCAATTCCCTCTTTATTTCTCTAGAGATAGGCTACAAAGAATCGAGATCGAAGGAAATCATTAATATTCACAATCAAGCAAAATCCAGACCCCCTTTGCGCCTTCTATCCCCATCAAATACAACAGGTCATTACGGTCGCATAAAAGTACAATGGTATATACAGTCATAAGTGATCCAGATATTCCCATCACTCTCATTATCATCTCATTAAAGGAAAACATTAGACATCATTGACAACTTTATCCTCGGTAGTGGCACTCTCCCCTGTATCAGCAGCACTACCAAGTTGCCGACCGTAGGCCGACTTCGGTCCAAACTGGTCGTCATGGCGCTGCGATAGAAAGAGGATAACCGTACTATCGTCCATTAACATCTCTTCCGAAAAGAAGTGAAATCAAAAAGAGCATACCTAACAGTCGTAAATACCCAACCCGGCCAAGCCAGAACAGCGGATGCAATCGCCCGTGGGTTCGTATGATATTCTATCCCTCCCTGTTAGCACGAAGCCGCACTTTACGACACTATGAATGCGAAACATACTCAAAGCAGGCTTCTTCATCGACTCCTCCCAGAACTTCCGGGCCGTTGACGCATCCGTTCCATCGATGCGGGCACTTCCCGTCGCTGTGATGATCTATCCCCATTGTTAGCCCTACATCCATCTCAAACCCATCTCCAGCTATCATACCGTCATCGTCAACGCCGAGCTCAGCATCATGACCGACACAATCACGGCACAAATCTTCCACGCCAACCGGACAGAGCGGCTCTCGTGACGTTCCGGCCAGAATAAATCGAAGAAGAACGCTCCACCGAATATGAATGCGACGGCGATTCCAACGAAAATATTGTATGATGCAGCGCCGATGAAGTCGTTGTTGTAGACATAGATTCCGGGATGTTGGTTTTGGATCTCATCTTGTTGGTCGAGGTAATCTATTATCAATATAGTTTGTTAGCATTTGCGAATTTTTTACGGGTTGTGGGCAGAAGGAATGAAGCTAACCAGACAACGCCGCCGTCCCAACCGACTCCGAACAAACACAGAAAATCATAGCCAGCTGATAGACAATCATCTTTGTGCGACGAAGATGATATATGCGTGTGAACATGTAGGAGCTCTTGAATTTGCTCCATTGCATTTCATGGAGATCTAACCCCCAAATGACGGCCATTGTCGATTATTTTCAGATTGAAAATGAAAAGGGGGGTAGGATTGATGAGAATAGACGAGCAATATTCTGTCCATAATTTTCTTATATGAGATTCTGCTAAGTAGACAAAGAATGAAAGGCAGGGACCACGTCAGGGCTGCATTGATAATCTTGTTTTGTCAGGGTCGGCGGAAGGGCGATCCGTGACGTCAGGCGCGTCCAGCCCGGTTCCACTGCTTTTTTACACTGTCAGTGGTTTCTGCATTCTGCAACTTCATTGCAGCTACTAGCTGGATATCGCGCTGGCATCCATCATTGGTTTACACGTGATGGTGGCGTTCCATGGCGCTTCGCTTATGCTGATGTCGTCGTTGTTTGGTAGGGCTTCTGGATGGGGCCCTCAATGGGGGGTGGTACTTAGTCTTCTTCAAGGGGGCGAATGCAGGGCCGCAGGCTGGGTCAGACGGTTTGAAGTACAACCAGTCTTATGAAGCTAATTATCAAATTTATAGAAAGTATAGACAAGCTATAGAAGCAATATTAAGCATGTTCCCAACCATACTGCACCAGTGGATCTGGCATCATGGCCACCAGGAACAATGTTGCCATTTCCGGCGATTGATTATATCATCATCTTCGTCTTTGTCTGGCCCAGTAAAATTATCGTTCTGGCAATGTCGGACAGAGATGATGAATGGGATCGATCGGCCTCGTAATTATCTCGGCAATGATGTCAACGCGTTGGACATCACCGAGATGTGACGGACCCTTTGCGGTCTCGGCTTTCCGCGTCAGTCTAATCCGAGCTCGGAAATACGGAGATTATTACCCACAGCGTATGTACGCTCCATCAACGCCACAAGGTGTTCTCTGACTCTGTAACTGAACATATAAACTTCGGCTACATGTACGACAGCGAGTGACAAAACTTCCTCGTCACCTCCAGCACCAAATCCACATGCTCACGTTGATGCACCAGATTGACTGCAAACGATCCCCGATGCGCCATATACACGCCCCCTTCCAACTGATGGAAATAATAGAGATCCCGAATCATGTCCCCCTTCTCCCCCGAAAACTTTACTCCCACCGTACTCCCTATTCCACTAACGACCACATCAAGCCAAGCACACCACCTTTGCTCAAATATGCGACGTAATCCTTCCCTCAAATAACCTCCCAGATCATTCGCCCGCTCCAGCGCCTCCCGACTCATCAGATTAGCCGCTACAACACCAGCCGTCATTGAAAACACATTGTTATTCCACGTCCCAGTATGGAATAAAGACTGCTCTTCTCCCGGCTTAAACAACTGCATGATTTTCTTCTTCCCGCCAAACGCACCGAACGAGAACCCGCCGCCGAAGTGCTTCCCTAATGTCGTCATATCCGGTACAATACCGTACCGTTCCTGAAGTCCGCCATAGCAGAGTCGTGATGTGACGACTTCGTCGAAGATGAGTACTGCCTTCAGCCGGGTCGCTTCGTCCCGTAAGAATTGCAGAAAGGGGATGTCAGCCGGGATCATCCCTCCTGCCGCCTGCATAGGTTCCACGAGGATGGCAGCAATGTCGGAGGTGAGTTGTGCTCGGGTTTCCGGGATGTCGTTGTAATCCGCGATAATAAATTCGTGGGGAAGGTTGAGGGCGGTGTTAGCCCCGAAGGTGAGCGTGCCGCCATGATAGCCGTTTTTGAAGACGAGGATCTGGGGATGCCTTAGCTTTGAGCCAGTTGACTAGGTATAAACAACTTAAAGAGTACCTTCTTTCTCCCCGTTAATGCGACAGCAATCCCCAAAGCAAACATATTCGCCTCCGTCCCCGAATTACAGAACCGAATTGCGTCTATACTTGGGAACCGCGAGATAAGAAGTTGCGCCAGTTCACCCTCTTTGCTGGTAACACCGCCCAGCGTGAACCCTTGCTGCGTGACAGTTTGTATGGCCTCAATGATGGCCGGATGCGAGTGCCCGAACATGCCTGCTGTGTATTCAGAGACAAAATCAACGTATTCGTCTCCGTCTAGTGAGGTGAGATAGCAGCCATGTCCGCCGCGGAAGACTAGTGGGTGCGGGATGTGAACGAGCACACCGCGCGAGGAGCCACTGGGGATACTGTTCTCAGCTGTTTCAATGGATACGCCCGATTTCAAGTTCTTAGCACGAAAAATTTCAATGTGATGGCTCAGGGAGTTGTCTAGAATTGTTGCTGGGGATTTGTCTGACTGGTAGGCCATGGTAGTGATGTTCGATTCTGAATGTGAAAAACAGGTAGTTGTAAGTTGGTTTGAGTCTAGGGATTGTCAAGGAGGGTTGAATCTGATAGCAGATGAGGTTAGAGAGATTTGGAGGTGTTATACAGCACATTGTGCCGTGCGGGGTTGAGACAATCGAGATAAGCATCGGCCGATCAGTGCTGATTTAAATGCTGATTCAAATTGACGTTAGTGTAGATGCAAGAGATAGATATGTCTCACAGTTACTGAACGCAAGTAGAACTGACAATCAGAAGGCCCACTGATTTGTACCGCTCCCTATAGCGAGCTTTTACCCAAAAAGGAAGTCCGTACAGCTTCACAGAAAGGCACAAAATATCACGTGAGGACAATTCACGTGATGCATATCAGTGAATGTTGCAAAAATCCGTGTTGCACCACCATATCCCATGCTATTGTTTTCGATGGCTGCTGGTGATATCACTTTATTTTGGCGCTTGGTAGGATATACTATATGTTGGGACTGCAACTTGAACGGGCATTAACATCCTTGACCAGTGAGTATATCATTCCTAGTAAGTTGATGACTCCTGACACAAAAAGAGCTGGTCTGGTGCAAATGCTGCTTTCACCATCTCGGGCTATCTCAGCTCCCTGATGAAGTTACAAGAAGAACGGCCATGACAAATCACCTATAAGCTAATGTTGAGGAGCCGATTTACAGGCTCGCTGCATTAGATAGTCGAAATAATCGCAATACACCAAGCACTATAACATACTATTTCCACGTAGCCTAATGCAGTGCCCACATACCCTACGCAGTACCAACATTCTCCACCCTCTCCGTCCCACCCTTCCCATCCTCCGTCTGCAATTCCACCTCCACCCCATCATGTTCATCAACCACCTTCTTCTCCCCCGAAACATTCACATCCGTCGTCCGATGTCCATCCAACAGCTTGCGACTCACCGTGTTCGCATATATGGGGAATATCCACGCGAGGACATAGAAAGCCGTCGGGATCGCCATGGCCTTATGGAAGTTGCCCGTATGCGTAGCCACAGCTCCAGTCATGGGCGGGATAGCAGCACCACCTGAGATAGCAGCAACTAGCATACTGCCGCCGCGCTTGGTGTGTTGTCCTAGACCACGGAGGGCCAGGGTGAAGATTGTGGCGAAGCAGGCCTGTAATAATTCATATTATTATGGGGCGGGAGTGGAGGTGAGTCTGGGGTGACATACACTTTCAAAGCACAACACCAAGATCAACATAGCAACGCTGGTAGGGCCAGACGTGGTGGTTGCAGCGACACCGAAAATGAAACAGAGTCCTAAGTATGTGGCGAGGATGTAGCGGGGTTTTACCCCGACGGTGATGAGGCCGCTGGAGACAAAGCGCATGAAGGTGTATAGGCCCTGGCCGACGGCGAGGAGGTCGGCTGATGAGACATTAGAGCCACCATCAAGTCAAAGTGATAAGGAAAAGAAGGGAGAGACTTACAT